GAGGCCTTAGGGTCTTTGGTGCTCTCTGAACTTGGTTCTTTTGTTGTGGACGTTTCAATACCAACAGCGGTGGGTTTCACTTATTTTTACCACCGGTTTGCTGGGCGCGTGCACTGTCCGCGCATACACCCGGCCTTCCACGCATGTGCTTTGCTTGCGCGTGTGCCTTCCAGCATCAAAAACATGGCTAAATAGGATGACATAGTGCCGGGGCAGATCTCGACTACAAGTTTGCCCAAACCGGCTGAATACCACCTCTGAATACCAAAACAGGGTAACATCATCAGTGCCGAGCACTGAGCAGCTCGTGCTAGCACTGATGATGTTACCTAGTTTGGGTAATGAAACATCCGCAAGAAAACAAGCAAGCTCAGGGAGCACCCAGATCCTCCCAAAATGTTCTATTCAACCTCAGCAGCTTCCCCTCGGGGATCAATGCAACCGTCATAAGTACACGCAAGTTGCCAAGGGTCCAAATTCTGATCATGTGACCACGGGGATTCCGCAACGGTCGTTCAGTGTGAGAAACGGTCGAAAGTCCCTATTTTCAGTGCCGATGTAACTTTAAACAGTCACTAAATGAACGGTTGTGAGTCAAGGACTATATGTACCCTTTATCCTCCGTCTCCAAGGGGTTGGCATTCCTGTCCCTTATCCCGGACTGCTGGGGGTGTGAACAAGGGGTGGAGCTGCTGGGGGATTTGCAGGGGTTCGGGAGAATCTCTAGCTAAGATTCTGTGCAGTTCGGACAACCCCCAAATCCCACTGCTGGCTGGCCCCACCCAACCCACCCCGCTCCTCCAGGAGTCCCCACGTGGCCCGTTTTAGATGCAGGCAAGTGTTGGGCGCATGCGGAGGCTCAGGGAGGACAAAAAAGGGCCTACCGGAAGTTCAGGAAGGCAGGAAAGAGGCCCGTCTCTGGCCTCCAGAGCCTGGGGAGGCCGTTTTTGCCCTCCCGGAGGCTCGAAAAGCCTCCGGAGCTCAGGGAAGGCAAAAACGCCCTGCCGTGGTGCAGGAGGCCACCATGGCCACACCCACCCAGCAATCTGGCAGAGAACCCCTTGCTAAAACTTTTGAAGCCCACCCTTGGTGTGAACCCCAGCGTACTACCCTGACACCCCAACCTTTCTAACAACGTGTTCGTGAGGACAATGTGGACACAGAGCGGACAATGTGGGGAAAAACGAGGATGAAAAAAAAAGAGACAGCCCAAATGGTCAGTGGTTACGGAAAGCCAGCGACAGGGTTACGTTGGCTAAGCGCTTACACACACACACACACACACACACACACACCGCAAAGAAACCCAGGGAGGAATTAATCGGCAGCATGACACGACACGAACACACAACACAACACACAACGAGAAGACTGGAAGGAAGGAAGGAAGGAAGGAAGGAAGGAAGGAAGGGAGACAGAGAGAGGATTAATGACGTCAAACGCAACTGAGCCGACCTGGCGTGGAAGAATGAATCTCGTCAATCTGTCCTTCAGCAG